GGTTAACTGGCATCTGCTGTGACAACTATTTGCATTTTAATAGCTATAGCAGCTTGAAGCATACATATTGGTATAACCTGCTCCCTTAAGACAAAATCAAGGAGTCAAGGGTGTCAACGGATACCTCCCTTGTCCCCTTGGAGTTTTAAAGTCTTAACTGATAAGTTGAAATGGATATGTTTAATTAGGGAGATATATACAAATGTGAGGTCATGTGGGTACTACAGGAACAAGGTTGGGAAACAGTTTTGAATTATCTTCACAAATAATACCTGGTCCAAATACTGTTGTACCACCACTGAATTCGACTGGAGGACTTAAAATTACATTATATACTGTATCATAAAATGAACCAAGCCTGTATCAACAAACAAGCAAGATATTTCTTTTCCCCTAGCTTTAATCATTGGCATCTGGTTAGTTGCACTTTTCACATTTGATCCATGACAAGAAATTTGGAAGAAAAAATGTGTTCTGAAACTTCCTGTTTCCTATTTTGTTTTCTCCATTTTTAGCCATACTAGAATTACCAGTTTTGTGTCATACAGAAACCAATACTCTTGTTTGTGCATTCAGTAACAAACTACACAGCGTCAATTAACTTATTTCTGGAGTGAGGCTTATTTACTGAAAAGACTGCATCAAAATGTTGAGAGCACAATACGCAAAACTCAAACCAGATGGATCTAAGGTAGAAATTACACAAGATCAAACACCGCACAGCCTACACTACAAAACTGTTACAAGAAATACAAAACCAGAGTCCACTGTTATTCAAGCTTCCAGCATTGTAAAGTTCTGCAGTACACATAAGGGTTAACATCCTATTCATTACACCAGCTCTGGTCTTGTTCTTAAGCCTTGCACACTTGTATTCCAGGTACGAAGACAATCATTCTCTTACACACTCAAACTATATTTACATATACAGGTTTCTCTCAGTCTATTCCACTTCCTTCACTCTCTCAAAAAAAAAAAATTTAAAAGAAAAAATATGCGTGCAAGGTGCACATGCCACAGGCTCCACTGTTTCTTTGTTATTCTTCTTTTTCTGTTGAGCTCCGTCTATTTCTCAGTCATCAGTTGTCTCCAGAACACTCTGACTCAGAGCCAAGTCCCAGTAGTGCTCAGTGCCATGCTTCTTAAAATGTTCCCTAGCCATACTTTCTGTTGGACACTGTTTAAACTTAACCTCCCCATAACTACGTTCCTTGGCTGTACCCTGAGAGAGAGAAAAAAGTATGTATTTAAGTACACAAAGCATACAATAAGAAACATAAGAAAAAGGAAGAAAACCTCTCTCATATATTACTTAGTGTGTACTTGCATATCAGTAAAAACCATGCAAAGGTCAAGAAAATAAAATAGTTGTATCACAAATGGTGAGTCATGATGACAAACTACTAAATAATTTTTGGTAAATGTTTCATTGGTTTACATAAGCATATATCTGGTATGCAGTTACCTCCCAAACCAGTGTGCATTTATTATTCTTCCTGGAACCCTCATCATCTGAATCTTGAGGCTCTAAAAGAAACATGGAATGTCAAATGTCAGCTATAAATCACAGCTCAAAAAAGGCTGATCAATAAATGTCTGCATCTTCTACCACTCTTAAATTCCCTTACCATCTCTCTTGGAATTTGGCTCATCCCATTTGATTCTATTCAACATCAGTCGTTTAAATTTCTTCTGTGCTTTGGGGCCTTCAGGGAGTAAGGAGTCAATTAATAAATAAAAATCCTGAGAATAATAATAACCATATGTGAAGAGAATCATCTATAGAGATTCTCTAATCACTTTCACCCACCTCCCTCCACTACTACAATGTTGACATCTCTGTGAAGTACCACGGTGCCAGTGAGGTACAGTTGGTTTGCATTGGCCTCCACCTTAAACTTCTTGGCTGGATTATGCAGATTTCGGATTCTGAAGGAAAAGCAGATAAACTACTTGAGTAAATAAATTAGCGAAAAAGACATCACTGGCCACACTGTAGGTTGTTGTGTGCAAGCAGTGACAACAATGCTATTAAAAGTTTACTGAAATCATATGAGGAAAAAAACTGAATTGAATGTGGAGAGACCCTAGTCAAAACAAAACAAAAACCTAC